TGCACCACCGACATCAGTGTGACACTTGAGCGGAGACCAGCGTGACCGCATGGCCGACCTCCAGACGAGGGAGAGTGATTCGGACTTATTGTCTGGCCTCCCTCCCATTCTGCCACTCGGTTGCAGTTTCTTCCCCACATTCTATATGGGATTCTTATTTTCTCTAGATACCCCGCGCAGTCCTTACACCTCGCTCACCTCACAACCCCTCACCTCCTCACCATGTGATCACACTCACCATCGCCATTATCGTCATCATCACCGCACCATCATCACCAACCATCACTACCATTATCCCATGATCACCACAACGTTTTCTCTGGACACCCCCGCGCAGGAAGAACGCCACCACATCATCATCGTGCGCTAACTGCGAGGAAGTCTCAAGCGGGCGTTTTTCTGCAAGGAGGTCTCCCGCAGGAGCCCCCTTCCTATCGGGCCCGCAGATCATGTTACTAATCCGGCTGGGCCATCGGATTCCTGTAGTTGTCGTCACTTTGGGACTCCTCAGTCTTGAATTTGGCGGAGGCCTCGTCTGTGAGCGAATTGCGAGGACGTCTCAGGCGGGAGCCCCCTCCCTATGAGGCCCGCAGATCATGTTATTAATTTGGCTGGGCCATGGGACCCATGCAACTGTCATCGCGTGTGGGCTTCTCGGTCCTGAATGTGGCGGAAGTCTCGAGCGGGAGCCTCGTCTGTGAATGAATTGCAAGGCCTCTCAGCCTGGACCCCCTTCCCTACGAGGCCCGCAGCTCATGTTATCAATCCAAGCGGGTCATTGGATTCTTGTGACTGTCGTCAGTTGAAGGATCACCAAGCTTGAATCTGGAGGTCGTCTGTGAGCGAATTGCGTAGAAGTCTCAACCGGGAGTCCCCTCCCTATGGGGCCCGCAGTTCATTTTGTTCATCCGACTGGGCCATCAGATTCTTGTAATTGTCGTCACTGTTGGGCCCTTCAGTTTTGAATATGGCGGAAGTCTTGAGCGGGAGCCTCGTTTGTGAGTGAATTGCCAGGAAGTCTCAGGCGGCAGCCCCTCCCCTATAGCGCCCGCAGCTAAAAAACAGAATCTGAGCGGGCCATGGTATTTTTGTAAGTGATTTCACTTCTGGCCTCTTGAAGCTAGATATTGGAAAAGTATGTGGTGGGAGCCTCATCCGTGAATGAATTGCGAGGAAGTCTCAGGCGGGATCCCCTTCCCTATGGGTCCCGCATCTCATGTACGGCGGAAGTCTTGAGCGGGAACGTCGTCTGTGAGTGAATGGCGAGGGAGTGCATGCGGAGCATGCTGATCCTGCGGCCGCCCACGCGAGAGTTCTGGAGTGTGGGCCGCGGGTCGCCGGCTTCCCTGCGGAAGGCGCACGGGGAGTTCAACAAGAGAACGGGGAGCTCCAGGGCTGCGAAGCAGCCCTCGGCAGAGCTGGGTTTTGCGCTGCCTCGCGCCCGAGCGCGGCCGCGACTGGCTCGAGACCTTCGGGGTTGTCCCGACGGCATGCTTTCGCGTTTCAGCGGTTCGCGGGGTTGTTCCAGTGGCCTGGCCCACGGGGGGTTGCCCCAGCGGCTTCGCGACCTGGCAATCGGAGAACGCGCCCGTGTCGCCGATGGCGGCAGCGGAGCCGAGGAGCATCGACTTGTGCGCCCTTGCTAGAAGGAGCTGGGGAGGAGGTGGAAGGGGAGGTGTGGGTGGGTGGTGGTCACTGCGTAAGGGGAACAAGCCCCGAGCAGAGCAACACGCACCACGACCACGACGACGACGACGGCGACGACGACGACGGAGACGAGGCGCGAAGACGTTCCGCACCGAAGCACGGATTTGGGGAGGGGAGGCAGGAAGACGAGGAGGAGGCAACGCAGGGGACGGGAGTACGGAGCCCGCCGAAGCGAAAAGGAAGAAAGGCTACGAGGAGACAGGGAAGAGCCTCTACTCTCATAAGGACGACGATAAGGTTTGCTTCCAGATCTGTTCGGGGAAGTTGTCATGCGGGGCCCTACTCCGTCGGAGAAACTGTTCTCTCATGTGCACGCGCAGAGAGCGCATGTTCGAAGGCGCTTGCGGGAAGAGGGGGAGGGGAGGGACGGGGAGGCATTCAACTCGTAGGGCCGCGGTCTGCGGTGCGGCTTGGTGCCGCAGCCGGTACCCCTTGCTTTTCTTGCCGATTTGGCAAGCAGGATGAATTAGAGAATCTCGATTCTTAGAATTGCGGTATGTGGCGCCATTTGGCGCGATGGCCAGCAGGTCAGTCAACTGAATATTCGGGGCTTGGGTTGGCAATTCCGACTCGCAGCTGGTGCGATCAGACAGACACGGTTACGGGGCGTGGTTTTTTGCAACGACTGGCGATATCGTATACAGAGTCATTTAAGCTGAAGCACTCTTCGCAGAAGCCCCAGGTGTACAGCACGGAAGCTCGGTCGTTGAGGCGGGCCACGCCCAGAAAAGGAATGACACGCAGCAGCAGGAGGACTTAGACGAGCCGAGGCAGAGGCATCATCGACCCTCCAGTTTGTCCCCTTCTGGCCTGGGTTGCCACCCGTTTTTTGTTTTTTTGTTTTGTTTTGTTTTGTTTGATGTTGCGTTTCCGGATTGGGCCGCGGAAGTGAAGTTTTGGAGAGGTGAGAGTGGGAGGGCAGTCACGCCCCAAGGCGTGTCCGAGCAAGCGGCGTGGGCATCACAAAGCATCGCCCGCTGTCTCAGAGCACGCGTTTTTTTGTCTGCCTCCTCGGGCAGTCCTTGGCCCCTCCGGGCCACACCCTTCTAAAGTGGGCGCACCAAAGAAGAAACCAGCTTGCCAGCAGGTGCCTGCGGAAGTTTTGTATCCCACGATGGCCCTGGGGACCCACAGAAGCCTTGAGACACCCAAATAAGGAAGCCCTGGGGTTCACGAACAAGGAGCCCTTTTCGTTGGGGAGGGGCTCTGTGTTCCTTAAGTGTTTCGCAGCTTACTTTAGGTTGTCCTTAGGTTTTCGATGGGGACTCGAAGTTTAACTTTTGGAAACAGGGGCCTCGTTCCTTACTTGTGATTCCTTAGGTCAACGCCCCGACTGTACTTTCTTGCCCCCGATGTTGGGACCGCACCACGCGGGGTGGTTTGGGGGGGGGGTCTGGCGTGCGGGCACGGGGGGCCGAGGCACAGGGGCGCGGATCTCCCGCGAGGCATGAGGGGGCTCTTCCTGACGGGGCGGCTCCCTGGCCACCGTACGCCCGGCAGTTCCCGAGCTGTGGGGTGCATGCCAGGATTCGGGCGTTTTGCCCGAGGCTCCTTCCGCGTCTGAGTGCCCTCCGCCTGCTCCCGTCCTTCGCGGCCGTCCTGTCTGTCCAGTGCCACCCTCGTGCACGCCGGCCAATCCGCGCATCGGTCGCCCCGATCGCCGCCCGCCGGAGCAGCAGTTCTGCCTCGCCGCCGGCGCGCAAAAAGGGTGTTTTGCCAGAGGCCTGTTCGTCTGCTCTGGCGGCGGCGTGAATGTGAGCCTGTTCGCAGGCAGATCCTGAAGGTCTCCACGATGTAGGGGTTTGCCGGCCGTCCCGCGGCCGTCCTTCTCCTCGCCCCTCGCCCGCCTGCGCCCCTCTGCCTCAATCCACAACGGATGTGTACCGCCGTTTGTTCGACCGCTTGTTGGGCCGAACACGCCGCCGACCAACAACAAACAAATGCCAGAAGCACGGCAAAGGTTGTGGCGCGGGGAGCTGGGGACACCTTGGGCCAGGAGCACCTGTGAAAGGATGTCCGCGGTTTGGTCGTTACGGCTGCCACGCATTCGGTCGCATTCGGTCGGGTCGGATTGGTCGGTTGCTGCCCCACTGGATCCTTGCAGGCGGCCTTCGGTCCGTTGGTTTCGGTCGGCTTCGGTTCCATTGTCGGTTTCGCTCGGTTTTCGGTCTAGCTGTCACCACGGACGCCCATGCCTTGAGATCCGACGCCTCAACAATTGCAGCAGCGTGAAGAAGCACAGCCGAAATCGTCGATCCCAAGCTTCTGCGGAAGTGCTCGAGCTTGATGGATCCGTGAGGGCCCCATGGCCCGAATCGGGGCTAAGAGCGCCTCGAGTGGACCCAAATCCGAGGACATCTTGACAGTTTGACACCGACGCCCGAGCCTGCTCCAGCATTGGATGACGCTCGGGCGAGCCACCGCCCAGGGGTCGCATCACCGAGGGGTTCCCGGCGGCGGTGGTCCCGGCTTCTCCTCCTGCGTTACCGGGGCCCTCTTCCTCCTTATCCTCCCTCTCCTTCTGCTCCTCCTCCTCCTCCTCCTCCTCCTCCTCCTCCTCCTCCTCCTCCCTACCCTCCTCCTCCTCCTCCTCCTCCTCCTCCTCCCCCTCCCCCTCCTCCTCCTCCTCCTCCTCCTCCTCCTCCTCTTCCTCCTCCTCCTTCTCAGTTAGATTGTGTATGAGTTCGGGGTAAGGGGCTTCATAACCATCAGAGATATGTTCAGGATGTCTTTGAATGTTATTCGGCTATCCGTAACAACTATGGCTCAAGCCATTGGTTCGAAAGCTAACGCTGGAAAACTAATGTGGTGGCAGGTCCTTTGAGACTCGCCGTCTCTCTGCCCTCAGCTTCGCCGTTCTGGTTCCAGCTCAGCGTCGATCGCGACGAGAACCTCTACATGTATCAGCAGCAGCAGAAGTACGCGAGCAGCTTCCAGTGGCTCATTGTACGCGTGATTGCAGCTGCAGTCTCACCAATTCTCATCACCTTCAGCATCGACATCAACACTCGGACTGGTGTGTGGTGTGGACGCACGCAGCTATGGACTACGGAGACACCTCAGGCAACGGCGGTGGCATACCTCTCGACACGTTCAACAAGAACACACCGCCAGGATGGCGTCCAGGCAACGGCAAGTACCCTCTGCGACGCTACATCCAGCTGCTCAGACTATGGTGGAGGCAAACGGAGTTGGCCGAGTACGCAGCAGGTCCAGCAATGGCAGGACGCCTCAGAGGTTCGGCGTTCCAGATAGCAATGAAGATGAAGCGCGACAGGCTGGACCTCACAGCAGGAATACGACGCGTGCAGGTGTACTACACCCTGCTGAACCAGCGG